CCCCCCCACCCCCAGCTCCCAAAGTGAGTCTTGGGCTGGAAGCAGCCAGTCATTTCTTGGTCTTACGTTAAGAGGTAGATTTGACAAATTAGAGTGGCTCCTGGCTTTTCTCATCTCAAAAATAAGTCTCGATGGACAACGGCCACCCCGGGGCTGGTCCCTACTGTCCATCCTGCCGGTGCCACCAGTGCCATGTGGGGTTGTGCCGGAGCCCAGGGCAGAACTGCTACCCCACAGCCTCCCGGAGCACCCTGGGAATAATCCATGGCAGGAAAAACCTGCCGTTGCCTCGTGCTGTAATATTTGCTTTGATTGTTTTCTTTGGATTTTTTTTGTTGTTGTTGTCGTGTTTTTTTTTATTTTTTTGTTGCTGGCTATGGCTTTGTCAGGGTGATTCACTCCCCCGGGGCCTGGCAGCAGCTGGAGTGTGCCCAGGGTAACCATGGTGGCAAAGTCCCTCATGGGTTACCTAAATCCCCGTGGCACCTCCTGGTGCTTCGTGTGCCCTTTTGGATGGCAGGGACCTTCCACCGTGCCGGAGGAGCAAAAATGGGTGGGTGCAACATGGGACACCCCCCCAACACCAGACCTTTAACACCAGTGGGATAAAAAGGCAGCAGCTCTGCTTGACACCCCCCCCCAGCTCTAGAGCCCCATCCCCGGAGTGATGCCTCCCCTTTGAGAGATGCAGGGCTGAGGGGGGGGGTCTCTCCCCGGGGTGGGCACACGCGGCACCGGCCACCTCCAGCCCCGGGTGGAGTGAAGTTGCTGTGGCAACACCAGTTTATGTAATCCACCCCGCTCGGCTGCAGGTGTGGGGAGGAAATTGTGCTATTTTTGAAGTTTCATTAGGTTCCTTCTTAATTACCAGCGTGGCGTCACGCCAGCTCTCCCGGCCGGGTCACGCTCCCCCCTTTTCCCCCCTCCCCACGCAGGGACCGAGCACCGTGGCCGAGGGCAACGGTGGCACGGGGCAGCCAGGGATGGGCAACTGGTTTCAGGGACACTGCTCACTCAGCCCACGCTGCCCGGAGAGGCTGGGAGAGCCAACAGCTCCTCTGGGCTTCCGACGGGGTGGGAAGGCTCTCACCATTCACCGAAATCCTCCTGGGAGGGTGCGGTGGCTGCTCGGGGAGGGATGGAGGGAGGGAGGTGGCTGCAGGGCAGCATAGCTACCCAGGGAGGGGAAAAGAAGCTGCCCAGGGAGGGGAAAACGATGTTGTGTAGGGTCAACAAGGAGCTGCCGCATCCTCCTCTCCTCAGGAGGTTGGACTAGATGATCTCCAGAGGTTCCTTCCAACCCCAGATCATTCTGTGATTCTGTGAAAGCCTCCTGTGACACAGGGGAGAGAGGAAAAAATAAAGGTGGCACCGTCATAGCGTTGAAGGTGATGTGTTACTGGCTGATACAGAGAAGAGGAACCAGAGGAGAAACCCCCCAGCTCCCACCAACCTCTTCCATCTCAGAAAATGGAAGCAGAGCAGCCCGGGGGCTGCGGTCACTGCCTGCTCCTCGGCACCTGGAAAGAAGATGGATGGTGTCAGAGTCATAGAGACACGGAGCAGGGAACGGGGCAGCTTTGCAGGCAGCTGGACCCAGCCAAGAAGCCACTTCCATCACCCACTTGTCCCCCCCAGTCCCACAGAGGGGGACAGAGGCAGAGGCTGCCCCGCTCCCAGCACGGCCACCCCTCAGACTATTGGCTCCCAGTGCCCTTCGTTCCCTTTCCCTCCTTTTTTCGACGTGCTGCCAGGGAAGGATAAACCCCAACCACCCTCCAGTGACCCCTGCGACCGGCTCAGGGCAGGCGTGAACCTGCGAGTGTCAACTTGTTAATGAGATTACCAGGAAATTTCCGTATTTCTGTCTCGGGCAGATGGCTTCCCCATCAGAGCCCTAACACACGCCGCTGCGCAGTCGGCTGCAAACCTTCTCTGTGCCACGCCAGGAGTGAGTTATTTCTAAAATAATTTAAATGGGATTTTTTTTCTGACATCTGGGGGTCACCGGGGGATCAGCCCCGTGGGTTTGAGTCAAACCAAACCAGCCACACTCGGGGGGTGCTTTTCCCCATCCACCTGGCTCAGCCCGGACGCCCACCTCCCCGGCTCTGCTTTTATCTGAGCACCCCAACAACCACCACGGGAGCTGGGACAGCAAACCCCACGCCAATAGCCAGGTCCCAGAGCCACCCCACAACCACGGCTTGGCCCTTTGTGGCCATCACTCACCAGGATCCCGGCAGGAACAGCTGTGGTGTCTCACTGGTACCTGTCACGGCTTGTACTGGTGGGCACTGGTCCCTCCAGCGCCACGGGCTCCACGTCCCTCGAGTGGGCAACCTTGACTGTGCAACTTCAGAACTTCCTACGTGTTGTCCCTGCGTTTCCTCGAGACACACAGGGGTTTGCACCTTCTCTTTTTTAGGGTTGGGACTTAAAAGTTGTCACAGAACTGGAGACACCCCAGCAGCTCTCTCAGCCAGCTGAACCCCCCCACCTCTCCCCAGCACAAACTGGGAAGGGAGTAAAGCGTAAAGCCTTTTACTGCGGATTAGCAAAGGATGAACAATCCAGGCTCTGATTTTTACCAGGTGGGAGCTGCAGCCCTGAAACTCCGGGTCTGAAGGCTCTTTGCCAGCAGGACCCACTGGCCAGGATCACCCCACGGGGGAGGAAACTGAGGCACGGTGGGGAGGGGTAACCACCCCCCACCATCCCGAGCAGCTTTTCCCTAATCCCGGTGGAAGCAGCATCTGAACCCGACTCCCCACAGTGAAAGGTGCTATTTCCAGGTATTTGTGGGAATACTGGGAATTGTTGTGCTCAGGGAGGTGGCACAGCAGCTCTTCAGCTGTGTTTCTCTCTGCCTCGGAGCACGGCCCTGCTTTTGGTGAGGGATGCCTTGGGATGAGCCGCACCGGGAGTCGGGAAGTGGCTCTGCCATCACCGGCCATTCCAGATCTGGAGCCAGGGCCAGGTCTCATCACTGAGGTCACTAATGGTGATAAAATAAGTGGTGGCCACAGGGAGGGATGGGGGAGATGCTGGCAGAGCCAGTGAAGTTCTAGGGATGGACCCCAAGTCGGTGAGGGATGCCCTGGGATGAGCCACGCCGGGAGTCGGGAAGCAGCTCTGCCATCACTGGCCATTCTGGAGCCGGGGCCAGG